GGGGCAGGCCTCTAAAAATATTTTCTTTGGGGGGCACGTGTATACTGGCTTCCCACTAATTCCGGCGTCAACCCAATATATGTGGTTTCGGGAAAAAAGGATGAGAGAGGGTTAAAAGGGGATWCTTGATTAGGTGTTAGCAGGGGGTGGTAGGGTGGTAGTTCAGGCCGATCTCTCTTTTTTATTTAAAATGCGGCGGCAATTATAGCCAACTAAGCAAACGAAGGAACCCAGAAAAGTAACATCKTTAGTCAGGCGTAGCAGTGCATGCGCGCGCACAACTGCTACAGAATTGTCCGCTGCCAATGAGACCCTTCTGAAGTTATGTTAATAATATTACCTTTTGACCATTTTTTTCTTTCTTTCTGTATTCACCCAAAAGGAAAATAAACAAAACAGTTAGAGTTGGATTTTATATCTCATTCACCAAGGCAATAAATAGAACGTATGCGTTCAGTTTCCTTCAAAGGGCGCAGCGAGAAAAACGGCTCARAGGATACAATATAACGTGTTTCGGTAGGTTAAATAGAATAAACTAAAAGATAAACCCTACTAAGGATATTGATTTCCTAGTGTAGGATTTATAGTAGTAGAGCATTTTCCCGTCTAGAACACATTTTCATATCATATTCACATTCCAGAAATGTCCTCAAAATGCAGAAGAAAACACATGCATGGAAGCCATATTCTAAAAATTACCATGAGAGCATGCCCCAGCTATCATCTTGTTTTGTTTTGCGTATAGTCGACGGTTAGTTTCTCTAATGCCAATAAATCTACACTCCACACACGTACACCCCTTTTATCCGGGATCCGTCCCTGACTATTTGAAATTATTGTTGTAKTATGGCATGGGTATGGGTATGTATAAATTTAGTGTACATGATTTAAGACTTGAATATAGAGTTTCTCGAGCTGTAATTGGTCGAGGGACCAGTGATTCTGAGATGATATTCACTACTCGAGCTGTGATTGGTCGAGGGACCAGTGATTCTAAGACGATAATCATCGCTGGAGCAGTTATTAAATGAGGTTTTTCAGAGCTAGCAAGATCGGGAGTAATTCTAAAATGTTTTTTTTAGCTATGAGTTTCGACTTTTTTCTGATGTTAAAAAGTCTAAACTTATACTAAAACAATTATTCCCTCAGGCTTAGTGATTACGGTGAATACTTACCTCGCCGCTCGACGACACGCAGCTCGGTAAATATTCCACCGATAATCACGTAGCCTTTGGCGAATAATTTTTAACTATTGACTGTTTTATTTCTGCWGCAGAAAGACTAAACCTGAAGCCTAAACCAGCAGGTGCGTATGTTGCGAGGTGTCTTTGTAATATTTTTGCTTCAGGAACTTAAATCTATTTACAATGTATTATATATTATAATGGGCAGTRTCGATAAGGGTAATAGTGCAAGGTTGGAAGTTAGTTTTGAAAACAATTAAACCTGGGCTTATATTTGCTTGATGTACCWTTTTGGAGGGTGTATTTATAAGAAGGGGTTGGGACAAAATTAGAAGTTTTATATGATGCTTCAAAATTATAATTATTTGAAACACTATGAGCTATTGCATGGATATAAGTTTAAAGTTTACAACCTTCTCTACCAAAGGGCTGAAAATATTTGTTAAAAATATTTTTTTAAGTAATGATTTTTCYTTTCCAATGAAGCTAAAGATAAGCCATCAAGTGTGAGCCCATACCTTATTGCATTCTTTGTGTTAATTGGAATATTGATTGTGGTGCTTTTTATATTTGTCCTTTACAAGGTAAGTTATATGATCATTTAGAGACTAACCAAGAAAACTAATTTAGTGTGCACTGGAAAGAATCATCTTCTCCTTATTACTTTCTTAAAATTAGAAGTTCATTTCAAGGGAGAATCCAGCGGGCGGTGGATTGGAAGGCTACTTATCCCTCATAAAGGGTTGAAAAATGATGACGTAGTCTATTGCACCATTTTTCCTGTCGCGACTGTTGTYTCGATCCTTGAATTCCAATAAAARCCGTGTAAAGCATTCACRATGCTCAAATTGTACGTYATTTTGTAGAATAWGATCAAAGTACTACAAACATCTATCCTCATATACATTTGCATTTGCAGTTATGCCCTCGATTATTCCCTTCCATTCAAAGAAGCGGTTAAAGAATTTGCAAGAAGACCTCGGGACAATTGAGAAAAGTTATAACAAGGTACAGCATTAAAGAAATCAGCCATGAAACCGCACAGTCACTTATACTGGATTTGAAAGCAATCTATTAAGATATAAATAAATAGTACACCAAAAATAAGTACCCAGTTGCACTTCCAGCTTCAATATTTACTTTGACAAATGTTTACAAATTTTGATAGAGTTTGTACCTTACTTTATACAATTAAATAATACTAATTGAAGTTTTTTTTTAACTTGCAACTTGTTTCCATTACCTTCAAATATGCAACAAATAAACAGATATAATGTTCCTCTGATCAGCAGGTTTTTTAGCCCTTGAAAGCTTGGAAGCACTTCAAAAAAGTATTTGGCTGTCGCCACTTTCTCTATATTTTTTGACGACAAACTGTGACTAAATGATACCAATCTTGAGAAATAATCGAAAGATAAAATTAAGATATGAAAGATCTTAAAATTGTTATCATTTTGTACATTATTGAGAATATATGAGAATATATGTGACATAAAAGAAAGTAGATAATTAAAAAGAAATAAAAGCAATTGCTTTAGAGGGTACATTTTTTTTAGATTTGGTAGTTCCATCTTACCCCATTAAATCTTACCCATTACATCTTACCCATTGCATCCTACCAATTGCATGTACTACAATTCTTTTTCCTTTTTTTACCCCAGTTTACGTATTCACAGTTTGGTTTATTCAGACTACCATTACTTTTCTTTACACGGTTAAATTCAATTCGTTAAGCAGATTACCTCTTCAAAAAACAAAACTAACTGTGTAGAATACCGGACACGGTAAGCCGCCGCCCGTGCCGTACATAAACAATATATATAATTTGAATAACAAAAATGTGAAAAAAGAGAACAAATTAGCATAAGTGGAAGAAGTCAACGTTGAAGTGCAAGTGGAAGTTCGAGTGAATTATAATGATTTTTCGGTCAAAGTGGACCTAGTTCGTGTAAGACGAAAGTTCAAAATAAAATCAGGATATTCAAGTTTGGAATATACAAACTGTTTACCTAGATATATTTCAAAATAGATAGGGGCTGTCAAAGTTTGCTATTCCAGTACAAACACTTCCATTGTCATACTGGCTGCTTTTCGTACGCATTGTATGTCCTACCTCTCTGTTGGCAATTAGTTTATCCCCATCGCTGTCAAAGAAAAAAAATAACTATTTTAGTTTTGGATCGACATGAGTTATTGAGTCTCTAGAATGATAAAGCCAAGTGTATTCTTGTTCACTTCCTTCTTGTAGTTGGCCGGACGATTTGTTAAGTTAAGTTGATGAACCTTTGATATGATGATTATATCCCGCCAGTAAGAATAGGCCATTTGCAACAAACATTCACGTGCTAATATATGACTTTGATAACGAATCAATTCAGGTCAAGGTCCCCTGGGGAAGGCTCTGCTGGATGGCAAACAAACTTTAAACTGCTTAATTCGTATCTTGAAATCGAAAGTTTCTTTTAAGGGGAAAAAAGTATTTTTTGAAAAGGTTGTTGGAAAAGACATTAGTAATCCAGCGAATAAAAATAAATTAAAGTCTATTTTTTTGCCATCCAGTAACAATCACGTGTCAGTCTAATGCAAAAGGCCTATTGGGTCTGGTTTCCACGAGCATCCACATTAATTATTATTATTTTTACTTTAAAAACATGCTAAGTCTTTCCTTTGCGTAAATAAAAGTTCGCAAGTACCAGTAAATGAAAAAGTGATAATTCCTTACCTATTGCGTTTGCATTTGCGTCATTACAGTTCACATGTCAATTTTGTTAGCGATTCGCGTATATGTATTTGCGTTTCGTCGTTCGTGTTAACCAGGCTTTTTAAAGTACATACACAATTATGGGAATGAGATATGATGCCAGTCTTCCTTATACGATGTCAGTCTTCAAATTATTTTAAAAGGTCAAGTAAATAACATAATAGCTAATGGCTAGGTATTTTGAACTTACGCAATGTATACCCCAACAATGCCAATTTCAGGGACAACATCAGTAAGAAGCGGTTCGCTATGTTCTGGCCGCACAATGTAGTTCTTCATCGAAGGACTTCGTATTTTGTCCATYAGAATAAACTGCGCTCTATCTTCCTGGCTCAGCGTAATCTTTATATCKTCACCAAAGAAATTGTGCCCTGTTAAAAGACAAACAATTTATATTTAGCTTATTGGGCATAATGGTTTCCCATTTCAGATCACGTGTCATTCTGAAGAGTATCGTTTATTTGTTTAATGGTTGCGTATCAGAACCAAAAMGTATGTGGATAAAACTCAAACAAACATTAGGATATTATTCTCAAGGGAATGACAAGTGGTCTGAAATAGGAAAACAGTTCGCGCAAGCTGATCGTTAGGTATATTAACATTTGTGGACTTTTACACAAGGTAAAAGATTTAWCCTATCTTGCCCTAAAGTTTAAACAACAAATGGCGCCAAACCTTCCTCTCTCTACTGACCAAACAATAGATTCTGCGTAAGAAATAGGCGCATTGAAACTGGGATTGCGATATATCCAGCAGCCGAAAGAGTTCTGTAATTTTTACTTGTCTTTATTTTTAATAATTRCATCAGTGCTATCAAATTACCCATGTCTTCATCAGCAAGGTCTTAAAGGCTAATAATATCATCTGTATAAAAATGGTTAATCGTCAAATATTCAAGATCCGCGAGGGAACGATTACCTCCTCCTTCTTTCTGAGGCTTAAGGACAAACATATCTGGATCTTCGAATGCCATTTTGACAGTTTGGTCACCTTCTGGTCCCTACATTGAAATACATATTATAATTACAAGCCAATGATAATGTACAGCGTATTTTAATAATWATTATAAAATAATTGGGATAATACGCGCGCTATGATTGGTCGAAAACCATGTTTGATGAGAGTATTTTTAATCTATCGCGCGCGGTCATTGGTCAGTTTGAATAAGACRGCACGTAGGGAGAATTTACTTAGCTTTTTTTCGATCTTTTCGCGCGTTTGTTATTTTATAAAACAAATCAAAAACAGTTTTCTGTGTTTGATACTCTCATCTAAACACTTGGGATGTTGGGAGAACACTCGAGARACTGGAAACCACTCCGCTACGCGTCGTGATTTCCTACCCTCCTCTCGTGTTCTCYCAACATCCCGCGTGTTTTGATCAGAGTATCAAACACGGAAAACTGTTTTTGATCTTCTAATTTAAACTGGTTAACTTTCTTGGAGACAAAGTGTACCACTGAGTAATGCATGACTATAGAAGAGGCCTTACCTCATCTAGAGAATAAAGRCCAGTGAATGTTCTTCTAAGTCGCTGTACAGCAGCCTTATCTGATATGTACCTGGTAATTAAGGGAAAGTCATTTTAAAAGCAAGCGTTATTCATGAGCTTATTTAGGGGTAGACCCAAGGAGCACGGCCGTTGTCTATATTATTGTTCCCCATCTCCGATTCCCGGATCCATCGAGCCTGTTATGAACCACTGGTGTCAAAAATTGAATGGAGCAACACAAATATAGCCGTTATTTTCAATACAAATCATTTTCGATTAATTAAAAAGTCTAAATATATAAATAAGATATTTTGCCGCCGAAAACCTAGCAAGCCTCCCCTTTTTTGTACGTAATATGTCTCCATGCTGTCAAATCAAGGAATAATTGAACGAGGAAAATTCCTCTGACTGCCAAAATTGGACGAGGTCATAGGCCGAGTCCAAATTTGGCATCAATCACAGGAAGTTTTCGAGTATAACTATTTCTTAATTGACGTGCAGCATTGAGCCCAATTTCCTATTAACTATATAGAGCTACCTATTTGTCCATATGGGTAAAAGCTGGATTCTTTTTCATTTTCAAGAAATGCCCAATTTTGGGAAATAATTGTACGGTTACGTATATAGGATTAAAAGGTAACTTATTACGAATTTAATAGTATATTTTTTTGTTATAAGTTACTTTCGTACTTTTCAAGCACTCCAGGTTTTGCCAATACTTGCTGAATTTTCTTCGTCCCTACCAACTGACCTGCAGCAGTTGGGCATTTGATAGCTAGAGATCTCTCTATGAGTAGCCTAGCAGACCATGCCTTTCAAGAAAGTAAAGAATAAACGTTAAAATGTCAAAAACAAAATGTTTAATGGGAAATTGTATGACAATAACCAGCATTATAGTCATCAATAAAAACTACAATAACAAAATATATAGCAAGCTCATCACACTTTTGATAAATCTAACCATGAATG